AGGAAAGGCGTGACTACTGTTTCGTAATCTGACATGTTTGGTTTGGTTGATGAGCTTACTCTAACATGTTGGAAGAATGTAAGTGAAATCAGAAACATCATTGAGTAGACATCACACCTTTGCCACATAGACCTCGTCTCTTATAAAACCTACTGTCAGCCCACTCGCTTCCATCGTCGCTGCGTCTATCCTGTCTCTATCTCTAATACCAAATATCATTGTGGAAAAATTCTTCTTTTACCAGTCCTTCATCACCTCATACAAAACTTGGTGAATACCTCTCATATACGATACCAAACACACTGGATTCCAGGCTTTTCAAAACTGATGTGGGAAAATAAGCTATTCATTGAAATGCAAAATTTATATAAAGTTCAAATTCGGTAACATAAAGCAAGCCAAATACTTCCCAAGAATCTCAAATGTAATAAAAAATTGAATATCTTTAGTCCACTGCAATGCAAGCTATGGATAAATTGAAAATAAATAACGGCTTTAAAATTATGTATATATCAATAAATATTTCCGACATATCCATCTTGTCTATGCACATATCTCATAGCAGAGATAATAATGTGAGCTACTCCTTCGGCGGTTCGTATTAAATTAACAATTAATGGAATAATAGACCCACCTTTAGTCATAATCCTCATAATATGTCCGGGTAAATCTTCATCATCTCGATTGCCTGTCCGGCCCATAAATAATGTGGATCCAGTAGATGGAGTTTTTTCTGATGTAGGAGGAAATTTACAACATGACTTAGCGGCAGCACAAGTCTCAAATTCAGGCCGGAAATCTGACTCTTTGCCAGACCACTCTCTGCGATAGCCCAAATTGTCTGCACACCTCATGGCCAAGTTCTCGTTGGTCTTCTCGAGGTCTGACTGAGCCGCAATCGAGGCAATGGCTGGCTTAGCAAATGGAAGGGAAGAAGCGTTCTCTGAGAAGGAGAAAGAAGCTGCCTGTCGACTCGAAATAGTCGCCGAATCAGAAACTCCAGCGTCACTAGGCAGCACCGCGCCATTTCCTGTTGCATTTGTGCCCAATTCAAGATTCCTCATGTGGCAACCGAAATTGCTGGAATCGTTGTGGGCCAAGCTGGTAGAGCAGCAGACCGTTGGGAGACTTATCGGCTCCGTGAGTAGGCTGAAGGTACCAGTGTGTGTGTGCACTGCGGGCTGGGAAGCAACGATGTGTCGCACAGAGGCAGTAGTGATGACCGTTGTCTTGGCGTCTGTGGACGAAGCGATAGAGGTCGGAAATTTCACAGCAGAATTATTCACAGCCGGGCACATAAAAGGAGTGGGAAGAGTGAACGAGGCAGGCGAAGGAGGAAAGGGGTTGGCTGAGTCTGGCGTTATGATATCCGGCGATTGTGGTGCTGGTGCTGGGGATGA